TGTTCATCCGGTCAAGTGCGGGGTGAGGGACGGGAGGAGCAGGGGAGGGTGGCGGGGGCGGCGTGGTTCGTCGGGGCGGTGTGAGAGCTGTGGAGGTGACGCCGGTAAGGCTTGGGCCACCAACGGGAAAGAACTCCACTTGCACACACACGCACCTCCCCCCCCCACACCCCTCCGGGCGGTGCTGCCTGGTGAAATATCAGCTGGCAGGTGCCGTTGGGTAAAGCCTGGTGTTCCCTACTGACGTTTTGCTTCTTCCTGCCCCGGTGGTACCTGGAATATATCTTCACTTGCTAACAGAAGGGAAAAGAAACCAAACAAAGTCTTGCTATGCTTTGATGGGGAGAAAACTTCCTGCAGAGGAAAGATTTCTTGCCAGTCGCCGCTGCCTGCCCAGTCTGTGGAAGCACCTACTGCAATATCCCCAGTTTGTGCCCGCACTGCGACCTCCCCTATCTTCCACCCATCCTGAGGGCAGAGGAAAAGTGCCCCACGGCCAGCCTTCACCCCCACCGGCTCCCACTCTCACCACCTCTGCTGCCAGTTTTCCAGAGGAGAAAATGGACATCCTCCATCCCACCAAAAACCTTGCCGCCGCTGAGCCTGCCCCTGAGGGGTGAGAGGCGAGTGCTGGGTATGTCGCAGGCCGGGGACACTGGAGGGAGTCAGCCTCCAGCAAAGGCGGAGGAGGCACAAAGAGGCCCTCTGCTTCCCCGCAGGCAGAGGCAGAAGCACGTCCCCTGCTTGGTTATTAAGACACCCAGGGTGCAGGTGGCCTCTCTAAGGGGTCTGGGCCTCCAGTGTGGAGGTGCAGGTGGTGCCGAACCTCTTCAGCTCTTTAGCGCTCAGGGACCCCCAGTACACCAGGTGTGGTTTTGAAGGAAAACACTTCTCACATACAATAAAAGTGAATTGTTAACATTTTACATACATGAAGGACAGATGTGAAACTCACACCTTTTTTTTCCTTAATTTTATTCAGGTGCTGGGGCCCATGAGTGAAAGGACAGCTCTTTGACTGGGAACTTACCACGCCATATCATTTGCTTGAAATGGGCATCACGCCCTACGAGCGCTGCTCCCTGTTCAGCAGGGCCGTGCCTATCAGCAAAGTATTGCGTAGAGAAGTATCATCAGTTAGGTTATCTTATTCTTTGTTCACGCCTAATGTTATTTCTGAGAAACATTGTAAAATGTTACTTTATCATGTTAAGACTTTGTGCCCTACCAATGTATGCGCTGTACGGCAAGGTGTGACGGTGGAGCTGCCTTCCACTGGCTCTTACTGGCTTTGGCTCAACTATTACGAAGACACTATATAATATGCTAGAAACATGGAAGAAGATACATCTGCTACTGCCTTCTCACATATTAGAGAAACAAACACATGGTTCCGTGTGAAAATCATGTTGCGTCAAAAATAGAGTCTCTATTAAATGATACTGTTTCCTGCCTTCATGTATCTGTGACACTTTCCTAGATACAGAAACACAATCATCTGTAGCTCTTTCCTTTCTCAAATCAATTCCAAATATACTCCCATGGTTCAAAAATCTAAAGAACCTGTTTTGTTTTCAAGAAGTTATAAAATACAACTTTGGATGTGTGTTCAAAACATCCTTAATGTAGGTTAGATTAGAAAAGCAGCAGTTCAGCTTACCTACTCAGTTCAGTCTCCAGGAAAAAAAAAAGAAAAAAAAGAAAAAAAAAGTGTCTGGGCCTTAAATTACGAGCTATATCTTTACTTTGAGACATTTCTCCCAAGACGCATGCCAGAGAGATGGCTGCTCAATTGTGTCCATAGTCTGGGCCCCTCACTTCGAGGTCGCAATCATTCCACTGCCGTTTCTCTAAAATTAAACCCATGTTTCCAAAATAAATAAAAAAAATCCCATAAGATGAAATGGAGACTCATCCCCATTGGAAGGAAGTTCACAGTTATACACCAAACATCCCATTTTGTAATCAGGGATTTTTTTTTCTTCTCTTTTATATTTATGCAATGCTCTGTTACATTTTTAGAAGGAGCAAGGTGCGCCTGGGTGCCAGTTCTCCTTTCTCCTTCTCAGAAAAGGCTGAGATTCGGGGAGGGGAAGGAGGGGGGAGCAGTTGTGAAGCTTCTGCTACCTTCAGTAGGAAACAAAACCCAAGTAACATCAGCCCTAAAACCTAGAGCAGCCCCTCTCATATTTTAACTACTTCCCCCTCAAACCCAGCTATAGGGTTTGCCACATGAGGGAAAAGAAAATAAAAACAACAAACAACCCATAGACTACACTACGCACATCCCCACAGGAGTCAAGCTGACTTTCAGAATGAAAAGGCTGCTTTCCTTAGCAAGCATGAAGATGTCCGTTTTGTTATTAGCATACTAACGTACTACCAAGCTACTTTTATCATCGTCTTTCACTCATCCTGTGTGGCACGAGTCTTTGCTGCTATAGTGAGGTCAGGGTTTTTTTCAAAAGTCTGTTTAACTATGACCAGGCAAGTTCATGGGCTGGCAAAATTTTGAGTTCTTACACAACTGGAGGGTAGAAAAGCCCCCACAGTATTAAGCAATGAACACATGTTTGCAAGGAAGAGAATTATTTCTTCAGTTACTGGAAGTAATTTTTGAAGTGCCTCTAATTCACAATGTGACTTAAAAATAGTTTTAAAGGGTCTCAAGCTGGTGTTTCAATAATTCTCATTTTATTCCTTGCACCAACAGCCTTGAGTCAGGAGAGAAGGTCTACAATTACCTTTACTTCATGCTTTTGCTCTTTCCCTGTGCCTGAAATCAGAGTAAAGATTTGAATATAAGCTTTGCATATCTGCTCATGAAATCATCAAGATCTCTCAGAACTGCCAGAACAAATTTGATTTTTTCTTGTAGTAGACAACATATGAAACTCATTTTTCATGTTTTTATAGGAAAAAATTATGGTAAGTCTATCTCAATATGTAACAAATATTAGGAGTATTTTTAGGCATTGTTTAATCTCCTTTCACCAACTCAGAGTTTAGTCCAGCAGCTTTCAAACTGAACTTTGAATATGCAAGAAACCATTCAGAGCTGCTGATTCAATGTACAACACTCTGCACTTTCAGTTTTTCTTATTAAATCTTTTATTCCGTTTGTAGACATAAATATGCGCAAAAAAGAAACCGACAAAAAAACTCCAAACATGTACACATTTTTATCAAAAGCATTGGTGAGTGCTAAGAATAGGCAGACGAAATGAAATACGTATTTTATTCCTCGGTGATGTATGCCCGTACGCGGACCCTTGGAGGTTTATGGTATTTCTCTACAAATGCACAGTTCGGTTGCCTTAAACGCAGCATCTACGGCGTAAACGACTTTGTCTTCTTGAGTAGCACTGAAGCTACTGGTGACGGTGCCAGCTCAACACCCTCCTTTCTCCCACTGCAAGTCTGAACGTTGGGTTGTTGAAGAGGTCCTCGGGCAAGGGTAATACTGATGTCATCAGGACATCACTGAATATCAAAATATCTTCTAGTTTAGAAGATCGGTGTTCCCCACTCTTCCATGTTATCACAGACGGGTGCTTCAGCAAAAGAGACTCTCAGTTTCTGAGAAGACTTATCCATTTAGCTTCTATTTGTGTAAAAAACCCTGCCTAGCAAAGAAGCATTTCCCACTAGGACACGGAAGCTTGGAAGCTGAATTTATTGTGTTGGTTTGTTACATGAATATAAATAGTAAGAAATGTATGGGTGTTGTTTCACAGATAACATTCGTGTGCAAAAGATCAGAAGGGAAACGTTTTGTTGTGACTAGTGCAGGAAGATGCTATGGCATCTCCCAAGGAAAACTCCCAAATGCAAAATATTTGAAATGTTTAAATATATTTATTAAAAGAGGTACAAATAGGATCAGAGTTGTTTTTTTTTTTAAAAAAAAAAGAGTCACTAGCTTCTGAAAAAATGTCCTGCATTAATTCAAGGGATAGCAATAGAACACAGTGTATCAGGAAGCCACCTAGAAATATTATAGTTGGAAAACCTCCAGAAGCAGGAGCTGTAATCACTCCCCAGGCCTGATGAATACATGCTTCACCGACAATGCTCAGTGGTTTCCAGGGCTGCAAATTTTCTATTCTCTCCTCATATTCCAAACCTACTGTGAGCAGACTCCCCTTACACGAAAGGAGAGATTGCTTTTAAGCTTGAAAAGAGCACTGAAATGACATTAAAATTTTTTCTTTCTTCTTCAGGTATACTGAAGAAATATGTCTATTTTGTTTCCCAGGTGGAGACTTCCTCATAATGGGAGAAAAGCCTTAGTTTTTGTACACCAGTAAAATGGAATGTTAATAAATTCAATCCTTCATGTTATTTAAAATATATATTAAAAAAATCCATATTAAATCAATGCTTATAAAAAAATAAAAATCTATTGACAGGATAATCCTTCCACTAAAACTGCTTGTGTGTATGCTTTCTTTACCCTCCAACTGTTGTCTTCTTATGAGTGCTCCTGCAGAAGGCCACTGCTTGCATCTTTTCTGGCTGAAGTGTTAATTGGCAGAAGAATGTATTAGAAGCATAAAGGCATGGCAGTTTTGAAACTAAGAGTACAGAGAGTGGCTGAAGTTAAAAGTCAGCGAGATGCCTCAGTGTCGCAGTGTTCCTAGCCACCTTGATAAAGTTGTGGGTACTCAAAATGGAGAAAAGCAGGCCCTTGCACAAAAATGGAGTAAAACGTGTGTATTATAATTTAAGGTGCAGTTACTTCTGTTAAGATTCGTGACAGACGGAAATTAAGTGGAAATAGAAACTGGTTCTGTGTCCTGCTCCTGCTAACAGGCTCAATATTTTGTCAAATGAACAGAGCAAAAATCTGTTCAAGTATTTGCATCAAGCAGGCTCCAAAGTAGTTACGATTGAAACCTCCTGATTCTGTGGTGCATTGTGTCACTCCAGGCAGTCAGTCCACACCGCCTGCAGACTCACTGTGACAAAGAAGAATAAAGTTACTTCTTGAAATTTCTCATCTTCCCTAGGCTGGGTTATCAACCCATTATTCATTCCTCTTTCTTGCTTATCTGAAACAAGTATTGCAGAGATCCACTTGCACCTCGAGTTACAGCAAAAGAGTACATTTCAATTAAAAATAGATTAAATATAGTTTTATCAACATTTCTAGCAGCTCTCACGTAGAACAGCCTTCAGCACATTTTGGGAAAAGGCAATGAACAAAACTGACTGTAAAACAGCCTCCCCTTTTTCTAGGGGTTGTCATTACCGAAGTGTCACTGGATAGAATGCCTCCTTTTGAAGATGTTTGAGCTGGTCTGTGACAGCTTCAGTGGGATAGTCACCTTCTGCAACAGGATATGCAACAGCAGAGGATTGTCCTGAGGGGGTGTTTTCTTCTGTATTCCAAAGCTTTTTTCACTTGGTCTTTAGCGTCTCCTACATAGTCCTCAACATTTTGCATGTTTATCTCAATGACATTGAAGGTGTCCGCCTGCTCCTCCACTAACAGGCCCACCTGCAGAAAGAGCTCATGGACTTCCTTAATGCGACCTTCTAACTTGACCAGCTCCTTATGACGTGTCTCTAACTCATTCAAGGCTGAGCGAGCCCCCTTAACATCCGACAAGAGATTCTCAGAGAAGACGTCCCACTTGCCTTGCTCAATCATCTCCTCGATCTGGTTGCCAGAAACATCTTTGCCCATGATCTCCAGCTGCCGCTGAATTCGAATCTTGCAGTTCTCCCGTTGGTTCATCTCTGTTGCGTTGTAGTCAAACATAGCTTCCTGAAAGGCGTGCATGAGGTCAACGTAGTGGTTCTTTGCTACCCTGGCAATGATAGACATAGCCCCATATTTTGTTATTGCGTCTTCGCTGAAGTCTCTCATTATCTGGAGTTTCCTATGGATGCTTTCTCCACGCGCCTTGATGTCTCTGGCAATACAATTAGTATCTCGCTTGATGCTACTGATACGGCGCATGGAAGTAAGGAAGCGGGTGTTTTGCTTTCTGAGCCTCTTGACATCCTCTTTTAGGTGGTCATTTTCTGTCCGGATGTTCTGTATGTCTTTGTGAAGAATTTCCAAGGCATAATCAGTCTCATAAAGGAGAACATCGCGGGGTGAATTTTCATCATCCTCACTATCAGAAAACTGTTGGTTGTGTAACCTGGCAAATTCACGCAGCTCGTTTAGCCGGTCTTTCATCCTGCCTGTAAAACAGGAGGAAAGAAGTTTAAAGTAAATAAAATACTGGTTTACAAGGGTTGAAAGTTCAAAACTAATAATTACATCCTAGTTATAACTACATCATAGATAACGATATCAAAGATAACCCAAAATACAAGCTTTTAAATTTGTTCACAGTACTTTATACAGTGATGGATCTTAGATCCAAAACTCTGGTGCCAGCAGACTTCTAGAAACTACAAAGCTTAGAAACTAAAAAAGTGCAAGAGAGAAGACAACAAATCCCGAAGATTAATCCAAAAGAATAAGAAGACAATCCCTAACCTCCCAAAAATGCCAGTCTTTCACTTTGAGAAAAAGCAAACTCTTGAGCAAATGATAGGAAACCTTCAGCTACTGGTATGTGTAGACGTGTTAGTAACTGAACCCTTCTCACCACTGCTCACTCGAAAATCTCCTCTAGATCTTGACCCTTCATTACATCAATGGCCCCGAATGTCACAAGTCCTCTGTCATTCTAAGCTTGTTTTCCATGGGAGAAGAGTAGGAAGTTTCTCAGAAACAGAAATGGCATTTGCCAATACAGTTGAGAAATAAAAATTTTGAGAAACGGTGTGGAAAGTATCAAGTTAGAATTAAAAAAAAAAAAAAAAAGGAAGGGCAAGTAAGGGCAAGTTTAGAGTGTCCAGATGCTGTCATTGATCATAGTGTACCAGGCATCAAACAAAACAACACACCAATAGCAGCATTTTGTAAGTAAAACCACCCACTCTTCTTTTTTGTATGATGGAAACATCCTACTGAAGGAATAAAGTAACACTGTTGTACAGATCAAGATCAGGTTTCTATGTGTTTGCCTCAGACGTACTTAACTACAAATTTCATTAAAAAGCCACAGAACGAGTAATTTGTACAGACCAGTTATGTGATAACAAAACATATGTCTCCTTTAAGTATGTTGTTTACTTAAAACTCTAGACCTAAAGTCTTTGCAAAAGATGAAATCTGAAAGCTTCAGCAAGAACCCTGTACCAAGTGTGACAGCAAGCAGGAAGCTCAAAATTTCCCATCACAAAAGCTGTACATCACGTGACCTCATTTAAATTAATAAGAAAGAGAACCAAGTTAAGAAGCAGCACCAAGCCGGACATCTCCAGGTCTCTGTCTGGAGAATTCATTCTTATTTCTCCAGGATTTAAAGTATCTTCACAGCATTTACAAACACGTTACCCACGGTGAATGACACTTCCCTTCATAGGATCACCAGTTATTCCCAGATTAAGAAAAGTCACATGTGCACATACCCAGTATAATAGGCCTAGATCTAATGTGAATTAAAACTACAAGTTTAGAATCTGTTTCATGGAATTGTTAGATGTGTAAAAGGCATCAAGCAATCTTAGGATTATTTAGATCGCTTCTAATCATTAACTGTTTCTGAGATGCTTTTCACCTGAAATGTTGATGTGGCTCTAAAAACCAGTCACATTGCTCATCTGACTGCATTCCTGACTCTTACAGGCTTCCCTAGAGTTGATGATCCTCCCACTTCTATTCTGATGCTTGAATTGTCCTGTGTTGTATTCAGCAGTTTATTCTTTCTATGTTTAGGAAACAGCATTTGGAAACAGCAAACAATGCTTTCTACAACTTTGAAATGACAATCCACAACATCAAGGTGCCATCTGCGTAAACTAAATCATGTGTGTCTTTGTTGCCTTAGTGTTTACCATTCCTTGAACTTGAGGAAAACTAAATTTCATCAGCCTTCCACAGAGAGCAGGGACTGACAACTGGCTGAACAATAATTACATTTTATTTTTTGTGCTTCACAAAGAAAACACAAACAGAAAACCACACTGAGTAAAAGCTCCTGCATAATAAACTCATAATTTTGTTGGAATAAGTCCACCATTCCTTCCCCCTAGGAAGTGTAACTTCCAATTTGCAAGTATAACTTGCAATTTGTCTTTCTCACCCACAACTATTTTAAGGTGTTAGATAAAATAAAAATAGGAAGAAATGGAGAAGCAAATACATAATTCACAACATGAAAATACTAATGCTGTAATAAGTTCATGTGTATAGTAATTCTGCAGCATCTCTGTAAAAATATTGCTATTTTTTTAATGCAACATGAAAGGTGAAAAAGTGAAGTATTAAAAGAAGAGTAAAGAGCTGTTAAGTGTGGCCTCAGATTGCACCATGATGTTGCCTACACACAGGAACATCATGCAATTAAACACTGGCCTATCTCGTATCACTTCCACCAAGTCTCTGCCTACAGTCTGTACGTGCTGAATAAAAGTTGCACAGCATAAAATTTCATATTCATCATTCAGTTCACGGACAGTTATTACTGTTCATTTCCCCAGAGATTTCCTCTCTGAAATCTCTGGAAAGCTCCATAAACTCGTAAGAGTCTTGTGGGGGAAGGCAGAGCTAACAGCCCTATCCCCGGACACAGGGCTCAGCCCAGAGAGATTAAGGACAATGCTATCACTTTTGATGAGTTATGATGCCCACTTCAGACACCTGTAGCACAGTTCTTTGTACCTGGTACGTTCAGAAGTCAGCTCCTTCTGACTTTGGTCACTGCTGCACACCTCAGGCACTTTGCTGTGTAACACCACGAAGTAGTAAGCTGGACATCAGTGAATGAACACATGGGTCAAGTCCACTTGTGAGACGCTCATCTCCAATGATACGTACAGCATCACCCACAATCTCCGTGATCCAGCAGGTCCAGTAGAATCCAATTCTAAATGTGAACAGAGGGATCAAATAACAGCTGTCCTGACAACCTTCAGCATGGGGCTTCCCAGTGTCCGAGTGCTTAGCTCTAAAAGTTCTACATTATTTCAAACTACATACCAAAACTTACATTCAAGGTGGTCAACATTAGGATCTTTTAACTCTGCACTGAGGACCTGCTCCCATCAGGGTAATGGCTCCACAGCTAAAATGGTCACACTTCTGCCTAACAAATAGATGCCATCTCTTCAAGCCTGACTTCACAGTCCTGCAGAATCAGGGACTTTTTGACATCAACTTTTGTTCTCTCTCAGTCCTGCCTTTTTCTCTCTGTTTCTAAAGGGCATCATCTAGCCTGCCTCCCACTTCACATTTTCAAGATGCTCTTCCTTATCTACATACAGAGCCTGGACACAATGGAGGACAGGAAGGAAGGACGGACTTTCTGCATGTATTTCAGCATCATATTAGGCCACAAACACCACAAATTGCAGAGGACTTTCAGCTCTGTGCCAGAGCATGCTCAATTACTCTCTAGGTCAGCATTTGCAATATTTGGCCAGAGACCTGTGAAGTTCAAGAAAATGTTTAGATTTCAGCTTTCATGAGCATCTTCTGCTCAAGGAACACAGTGAATTAATTTAGGGCATTTGCAAACTGCTGCTTTGAGAGACTTGCCATTTGGCAAAGTTTTAGGAATTTTTCATAAGGAAAACAGCAGGCTCAAAGGCAACGCCACCCCAGAGGTCTTTCCCTGTTTCAGATTCCCATTTCAAACAGCAGGGAATCAGATCTTCCCAAGAGAGGACAACAACTTCCAGATTGCTGGAATTTATCAGATGCTGTTGTTACTCTGGAAAGTTTGCATCTACATAAATGTTGATAGCATTGTTTGTAACTAAAACAGCAATATATTAATACTTAGTAGTTTACTAGTTGTTAAGGATAGCCTCAGCACTCATGCTTTAAAATGAGTGGCAATCTCTCCCCTCATATAGGGCCTGGTGCAGCAGTAGAAGTGGGGCTCCCTGGCTAGAGAGCAGCTCTGCAGAAAAGGTCCTTGGGATGCTGGTGGACACCAAGTTGAACATGCGTAAGCAATGCGCCCTTGTGGCAAAGGAGGCCAACAGCATATCGGGCTGGAGCAGCAATAGTGGCCAAGGGCAGTGATCCCTCAGTGTCCCCATCTGGAGCGCTGTGATGTCCTGGGGCTCATGAGCACAAGAAACATTGACACATTGGGGTGAGTTCAGGGGAGGCCACCAAGATGGTCGGAAGTGCTGGAGCACCTGATGTATGAGGAGAGGCTGAGAGAGCTGGGGATGTTCAGCTGAGAAAACAGGATGCTCAAGGGAGATCTTGTTGCTGTCACCAACAGCCTAATGCAAGGGTGAACCCTTCATGGAGGTGTACAGCAACAGCACAAGAGGCAATGAAACCAAGAGGGAACAAGGACCAGATAGCAGAGGAAAGAAAACAAAACCAAAACCCATCAGAAACACTGGAAAAGGTACACTGAAAAGTTTTGGAATCTGCATCCTTGGAGATATTCAATACTTGATTGAACATGGCCCTCAGCAGCCTGCGTTACCTGAGTTTCAGGGGGGCTGGATTAGACAATCTCAAAAGGTCCAGTCTAAATTGTTCTATTATTCAGCCTTTGGTCAAGAGCTTGTTCATTTGAACTTGAGTTCAAATAAATATACTCAACTACTTGCAGTGGTTTAACCTAACACATTAGAATATCAAGACAACAACTACTCTGTACTCTGGAATAACAGCCCAAAAAGTATAAATACCTTAATTTTATGAGTGTGTGTTTTAATAGATTAGCTGTCAGTTTGGTTTTCTTTTAAAATACTGTATATATTCAAACTGGAACGTCTACTTCCATGTCTGTATTTTTGGGCTAGATAAATCTAAGTCCCTTCTGCAGTCCCTCATGGTGCATACACCCAAACACACACTCACACACAGAGGGAATACAGGCCAGGTGATGACTGCAGAGGTTATAACTTTGAAGCCAGGTATCTACCAAGTACAGTCAACTGAGGACATGTTCGGTATTCATCTCTTCGTGTTAGCATGCTGCTTCTTGGTATTAATCACCACTATGATTAGCCTTCCCGTGATGCCTGAGAAAGTCACAAGCTGTCCTGTTGCAATAAGTCTGCAGCCCCACACAGCTCTGCACAACGTGGGATTTCAAGACAGGAAAGGAAATCCACTCTGAAAATCAAAAACTCTGCATACATGTAAAGCCCCATTTCATTAGCCCCACATACATACAATTAGAAGCCCTGAACTACTTGTAACATTTGCAGTGAGAAGCCATTTGCAGTAACAGAATTGGGCTGTGCATAGCCCTAAAAGCACACATTTCCATTGCTGCACTAACCCTCTGGCACCTGGTATCTAAGTAGAAATAACCTAAGAAAGGATGAAAAGTTTTCTATAGAAACAAACAAGTTGCACATATATGATTCTTTCAGCTTTAACACTTGAATATCCACATCACTGAGTTGGGGGACAAATGGTGAAATAAAGCAGCAGTTTCAGCACAGCACCTATATTTCATCAGGAGCAGCTGGGAAGGAAGCCAGTGGACATTTTTTCTTTTTGCAGCATTCATAAAAGGCAACTGTTAGTTAATACCAGCTTGTGGATTACCAAAAGTCTACTCAGTAACCTCTTCAGCCTTGAGTAGGACCTTAGAAGATGAAGCTTTTATTTCAGTTGAAGTGGCTCATTGAAGGAATAACCGATATTTCAAAACCAACCAGTTAAAAATCATTTCTATCAGCAGAACTTCTCTCCCTCAGAAGGTAAAAGTCCTTTTTTGCTCCACTATGAAAAGTCCCTTTATGCTCCAAAAAAAGCACGTGGCTCATCCCATCTCTGAATGGCATCTACTCTTGGTTGCATGACACATGATAGATGTGACCCAAGAAGCAAGTGGTGAACAATTAGGAAAGAACCTGCTCCTCAGCAGAATTACTTCACAGCCAAGTGTGTGTCAGCACATTCCAGTAACTTCCCATTCTGCTTGTGGAGGATGCGGTATTGATGGAAATCCACTCGGACTGGCTGAGTCAAACACACTCAATTACAAGGCAAACAGCGTGCTGCCGTCGCACAACCTGCGTTACGTATAGGAAAAAGATGTGTTGAACGCAGCTGAAGCCTTTCATTTAAGGGTTGGAGTCTCAGATTTAATGATAATTTTCTAGTATGTTTGGGAACCAACTGTCTTAGAGCAGATTTAACGATTTTGCCTGGTATCTTTTCCAGTAATAGATTTGACAATATTAGCTTGGAAAACAGACTACTGTTTACAATAGGTATTCCTCTTTCTAAAAGAGCTTCTAATTGACTTACAGCAGGCTGCTAGTCATCTTTTCAGGCCAAATTCCCTGTCTCCCCAATCATGTCCATCACTGGTGGAACAGCAGGCTTGAATTTCTCAGATCACTCCTCTTTTTTCTTGGTTCTCACCTATAAGAGCTTGAGGAAACACCAAAAATCATAATCTAATGATTAGGACAGTTTGCCTTCTGGAGCTTTAAGATCATGTCCGTATATTCTGCTCCAATATTAACAACTATGACAGAGATCAACATTTCAAAACCTTTTTGTAGCCTCACTAGAATGAAGTTATCTTCTCTGGAGTTTCTTGGATTGGGCAATGTTTAAAAATAGACAAAATGTATTCAGGACTGATGATATATCAGTTAAAAAGCTACAGAACACCAGTTATAAAGCTATAGAAATCCATCAAGAAGCCACAAATGTACCTGCAGACTATTAGACACTCTGCAGTCCATATTGTAGCCAAAGCCTGTGTACAGCAAAACACCTCCTCTATGCTTTCAGTCGCCCGAGTGAGAAGTGTGGGCAGTTGCAAATGTCTCAGGGCAGGTTTTTTTCCAAAAGCTTGCATGAAGCGTCAACTTCTCTATTTGTACCAGAACAAGTTATTTACTGCAAGCCGATAAATGCAGAGATTGAAATGGACAGAAATGAAGAGCGATCGAAAGAGCTGGGACTGTTTATTTTGAGGAAGAGGAGGCTGAGGGGAGACCTCATCACTCTCTACAACTACTTGAAAGGATATTGTAGAGGGGCTGGTGCTGGTCTCTTTTCACAGGGAATTAGCAATAGAACAAGAGGGAATGGCTTCAAGCTGCAACAGGGTAGGTTTAGATGGGAAAAAAATCTTCACAGAAAGAGTGGTCAGACACTGGAATAGGCTGCCCAGGGTGGTTGAGTCACCATCCTTGCATGTGTTTGGATGTCGTGTTTGTCGTTTGGATGTGGTGTTACTCGTTTAGATGGGGATATGGTGTAGGGGAGAACTTTGTAGAGTAGGGTTGATGGTTGGACTTGATGATCCCAAGGGTCTTTTCCAACCTGAATGATTCTATGATCCTAAGATCTAGGGATGGCTCCATTCTTTGCAGGCTATTTCTGCAGTTACTAGACTCTCCAAGTCTCCAGTGGTTCCTTTCCTACCATGAAGGCTAGGAAAGGCCTATGGGGGGGAAAAAATTAACATTCAAATAGTTTGTTGACTCTAACTCGAAGTAATGAGGCAGTAATTGCTTGAATACTGATAGCTTTGGAGGTTCTTCTTTGCCTTATCCCAGTTTCTTTACCAGTATTCAATCTTCTTTGCCTTATCCCAGTTTCTTTACCAGTAGAGTAAAGAACTCTACTGGTTCTTTCAACATAAGAACATGTTTTCAATGTTCTTATTTCAACATAAAGTAACTGTCAATTTTTGTAAACAGGATATTATAAATTCAAAGATCTAGGGTGCATCTTGTACTTCCCAGAGCTATTCAACAAGTTAACCATCTTGGTGTTTTTCATAGACTGGTTACCAAATTTTCTAGTTTTCAGTATCAAAACCAGGAGAAGCTGCTGGCATGATTGAAATGCATGCGTAATATGCATTGCATTTTCACATGTTTATGATGACATTGAAAAAAAATTTGGAGTTTTAACTTGTTACTACACAGTAGCACATGCTCAGTAAACATTATTCTTGCATTGGAGAGGAAAGCCTGTTGTATATAAGTTGACTGCTGCTACTTACTGGGTTGTCTAAATTTTTACTGGAGAGCTGTGGATCACCACTGACAAATTTTCAATCCTGGATAAATGATAAAATGAATTCTCAGTATCTCCTCTTGACATTTTTCTCGTAAGTCACACTAATGAGCGA